AAAAATTTAAACTGTTTTCAGGTGATGGTAATATTAATTTATAACATTTATTATGTGTTTGCATTGGTTGAAAATGCAAGTATACGTTTATGCAATCCAAGCAATTGCTTTTAGCAATACCTAAATAAAATAAAAGATTAGGAGAGATTGTTTATTACTTCTTCCCTGTGACTTATTTGCATCATGAATTATATTCATAATTATTCATCGTAAGTTTCTGCGTCCATTGAAGTTATAATATAGTTCTCTGAAATATGCAAAGACATATTATCTCTCATTTAGCTCTTTTTAATGATGGTTTCATTGAAATGGGCACAAAGAATCTTAATAAAAGAAAAATACCTTTGTATCTCGGAAAAAAATATCCATATATCTCCCAGACGAATCCCGCTAGAATTTGCAGCGATATATATCAGCGCATTCTGAATTCAAAATGTACTTTCAAGTGCTGTAATAGGAAAAGCACTTTTCACCATGTTTCTTGTGATTTATTATATTTTTTTTTTGTTTAAAGCACATTTCAAATGATGTTTACGAGTGTCTGCACTTTATGTATTTTATCCGTCGTGCATAATAATTTTTATCATTGAAAACTTTTCTTTGCAATAATGCTCACGTAGATAGATGCAAATAAGAATGGAAAAGAGGAAAATTTGCGTAGGTATTCATCAAAGGGTATAATCAGAGGCAACTTTGAAAGGATATCGCTCGCCCTAGAGCATTTATGGTATAAAATACTCGTTTAATCTAATATTGTCTTGAATATAGTCTTTTGCTTTCTGTCCTGTAAATAAATAATAACGTGCTCTGTATTTTTACAAACCACAATTTCCATGACGAACTATTCAATGGTATACATTATTTAATATAATAATATATTGATGAATAAATATATTTCAGTAAATATAAATGTGTACATAATATTTCTTATTTCATTCGGATTTTTACCCGTAAGTATCTTATCCATCATATATGGTGAAACAATAGTTAATATTTAAAATATAAAAGTTGTGACATAATTGTGTGACAAAAAAAGAGGAATGGAAAATTTTCCTCTCATAAAAAATCACATAGCAATATTTATAATAAAAGAAAATTACACAAAAAAAGTTAAGTGTTGTTAAATACTAGTCTTAGTGTATTATTTTGTAATGCCTATAGTTTCCTTAAGTTGGTCTTAGTCGTCGCGTTCCATGCTGGAGCTTCGTATGTCAGTAACGGTCTTATAAGAGTCAAGAAGAGTGTCCGCTTGTGCTTCACGCTTAGCGGGCTGTTGTGGTTCAAACGAGGTCTCAGTAGATTTAACATCCCGTAAGCCTGTCCAATTTTCGTATTAATATGTTTTGTGAAGCTGAGTCTATGGTCCAGGGTCACACAAAGGTATTTGACATCCTTGGACCACTCAACTTTATGGCCCATTACTTTCAATTTTTGTTACATATAAATTAATCTGATAAATATAATATTGATAGTTAGAGAATTACTTCAATAAGTGATTCTACTATTCTGTTCATATAAAGTTGTGATAGTTCTAAGGGTCCTCCATATTATATTTAGGCAGCTTCTTCTTTTTATTTTTTAAAATGGAAACATATTGTTAATCTCAATTTCCAAGTCAAAATTGACATCGCTGCTGTCCGGTGCAGGTTGTCAAAGCGAGATTCAAACTCACGACCTCATTCGACTCACAAGTAAATGTCATTCATATAGGTACACATATATAACCATATATTTGCATATATATGTAATATGAAAATATGTAATATCAAAATCTATTTGTATCGGTGTATGTTTGTTCTGCATGTGACATTTATTCTGCTTGACACATCGGAAGTGTACAAGATATGTAGCAGGAAGTTGGGACTTCAAACCAGCCATACGCAAACTCGGCGATAGCTCAACCACATGCAAAAACTGCACACGAACACGATCGCGAAATTATTGTGCCCTACTG